GACAGGCTCTGTGTCACGTCGTGAGTCCAGTCAGAATCCCAAAAATGAATTTTTTTTCTTGTTTCAGCCATGAACAATTAACAAAGCATCAAATACAATAGAACAAACATCCTAGGCTTTGATACCACTGATGAGTTTTGAGCATTACATCAATCCTATGGTGCACACGCAAACCCTAAAGCTTTGGATATAGTTTTCTCTATTGTACATGAAAATCATCCAAAGCTTATAAACCCTAATTCTAGCATACTAAAATCAAAATCTATAACAAAACATGTTTAGATTAATACCTTTCAATAGTAGCAAGAATCTTAAAGCTTTGAGAGCCTAGTATCGCAATCGTAACACCTCTAATCGATCATAAACACCAAGGCAAGTTGGATGATCTTGGAGAGAGGGGAAGGAGGCTCAAAATCAGCTCTAGATCTCTAGGGTTTCACTGGTAGCCGATTTCTGATGCCCTAGGGTTCCTTTTATAGGTGAGCTGCTAGGGTTTCAGTCAAAACCCTAATTGGATAGCTTGGGCCTTAAGCAGTCCAAAGAACCTTCTGGAATAAGGCCTTGGACGAATTCAAGGTGGGCTTCCTCCTTGATTTCGTCCACCCCTTGATCCAAATGATCCACAACCCAAAATACAATTATCCTATAATTGCAATTCCAGTCCCCTAAGTTCAGTTAATATCTTTGGATCACAAAATTAATTCTTAATTAATTCTTGACCAATTATTAGTTAATCAATATGATTTCTCTTTTAATATATTATTCTTATAATATATCAATAAACCATAATATCCTCTTTCTCCATTAATCATCCAGCCAAGTTGCTCTGGTGAAGGCAACCCAAAAGGACCATGCTACTATCGGGTTAAGTACATACCAAATATAGTTATGGGCTTAGACACCTAATCCAAAAACAACTAGAAAACTATGACTCCGATACCACTAATAAGTTTTATAGGTTATAATTCAATGCATGAGGCGAAATAACTTAACCCTTAACTTCACATGCAACCTCTTTGGATATAAGTTTTATCTATTAATAGCTATAATTTATGAACACCAAAGAACCCTAGCCTATCCTACTATTATAAAAAATAACAAGCATTAGGGTTAACATACCTTTTGATTATTATTGTAAATAACCAAACAATTCTTTTCTTGAAGTCTCTTGGAAAGCTAACACCAAAAGCTTGATGTCTCTAATGGTTTGTATCTAAACCCTAGGAATGGAAAACTTGAGAGGAGCAAAATTTCGACTCTTCTTGCTTTAGGTATGCTATGGAAAAAAACAAGGAACCCATAAGGTCCTATTTATAACTGATAAAAAAAACTTTAAATAACCTTAATTTGAAATAAAATAATATTATTTCAAATCTGACTTTATCTAGTTTTCTCATTGTCCACATGGAGAATTCTAGAAACCCTAGAAGGCTCCAAAAATTCGGCCACCACATGAATATTCTTGAATCTCTTTTTAGTTCAACTTTTGAACAATTACAACTTAAGTCTTTGTACTATTAATTAATCCAATTAATCCCAAAATTAATCTCAATTAATATATGATTAACTATTAATTAAATAATATTATTTCTAATTAATATATTAATCTCATAATATGTTAATAAATTATTTATTGCTATTTATTAATCATATAATAAATCAATAAATCAACCCCTCTCTCCAAAAATCATTCCAATCAATTACTAGTTTTGAAGGCAACCCAAAAAGGACTTTGTTTTTAATTTAAGTGTATACCAATTTAGTTGTTTGTTTACACACCTAATCTAACATGATATACGTTGCAATACAGACAACACCAGGTCGATACGTGCACAAATTCATGGTGGAGTATTGACGACTCTTATTGGTGTTCCACATGTTTTGAAGGTTAAAAAAATTCGATATTTTTGGGCATTATAGACTCGAAAGGGTACAAGTATTCATGTTCGAGGAGCATGCTTGGGGATTTTAAAGTTGTATTAGTGGTAATGAAAGGAATGTGAGTTTCCAATGGAGACGAGAGGTGAGACATGGGGATGAGATGAAACAGTTGATGGAGATACATGTCTTGCTTGCTTATTACTATGTCATAAGATCAATACAAACACGTTTGGGAGCTTGATAATTCTATTTTATTTTCGGTTCAAAGAGTTTGGGGTTGCACTGACGATTCAATGTTACCGGATGGAAAAGGTTCAACTAAATGAAACAAACTTGCTACTTGGAAGGTTAACATTTTTGTGTGGCGCTTGATTTTGAATTGACTACTTCACTTGAGATAATCTTGATATGAGGGGAGTGAATGTTTCTTTTATTCTTTGTCCGATGTGTGGGATGGAAATAAAGAGCTTGAGCCCTTGTTTCTCAAATGTGAAATGGTGAATAAAGTTTAGTAGGCGGTTTGTAGATGGGTACATATACGTATGTCGGTTTTCATAAATGTTATTGATGTTTACACTTGGATGTAGGCCTAGAGCATTTCGAAGTCCAAAAAGATAACAATGGAGGTGTTTTTTTTTTCTCGCTTGGTGGATGTTTTGGTTATACAATAATGTAGTGTTTCAAAACAAAAAGATTAAGTAGAATAAGATAGTTCAGTGTAGTGTTGATTATTTACTTGAATTAGTATAGAATAGTAAGCTTGCTATCAAATGGATTGACAGGGTGCAAAACCCAATGAATTCCATCGCCATGTAATTGTTCATTTTTTCTCTAGTGCCTTTCTAGTTTTATATATATATATATATATATATATATATATATATATATATATATGTGTGTGTGTGTGTGTGTGTGTGTGTGTGTGTGTGTGTTGTGTGCCTGCGCAAAGCAGCGGCGATGAATAGTTTTTTAGGCGAATAATTTTCTTATGGGAAAATAATTATTAGATTTTGTTATTAGTTATTATGTAATAAGAAAAATTACTACTTTTAATTAAAATATTTATGTTTAGAACTTATATTTATATTGTATGTTTAGTTTAAGAAATGTAATTAACTTATATTGATGAATTTAATATTTTAAAATTGTTATTTTGCTCCAAATTAATTTTTTAATAATCTTCATTAATTCAAGTCTTTAAATTTTTGGCAAGTATTAATGATTTTGTAATGCATAATTAATTTGTACAAAAAACTTTGTATCTTGTACCTCTTAAAATTCAAGATATGACTAATATGCTTTATATATAGTATAAAAAATTTATATATATATATATATATATATATATATATATATATATATATATATATATATATATATATATATATATGGGAAAATGACACAAACTCCCTACAAACTTTCTAGGATTTACTCGTTGAGTCCCTAAAGTTTTTGTCGGGCTTTATGGGTCCCTAAACTAGGATATGACCTGCTTTTTTAGTCGTTGTCAACCTGTAATAGCCGGTTAGGGAGCATTTAGACCAAAAAACCAAAAAAACTCACATTTTGCCCCTATAAAACCAAAAAAATAAGTTCGAGGATCAAGATATCAGAATCTTCTGGTTTTCAATATTATTTCAATTGAAACATACAGAGAGATGGGAATTAAGAAGATGTATAGAATCACTGATGTGAGAAAGTGATTATCATATGAAAATGAAGAAACCGCTTCTTTGTTCTCGTTACAGAAAAACGAGCCAAAATGCTAGAAACATCGTGGTGGACCGGAGTCAGAAAGTGTAAGCGAATCCGAGATGAAGTTTTTTCAGGTAGTAGAAATTCGAATGCGTATTACATTATAACTCTCTGTAATTGCTCAAATGTTGATGAATGACTAATAGTAATTATTTTTGTTTAGTTTGGTTCCCATAGTCGCCGCCGACGTTGACTCCACCACCACTGTGCAAGCAATCGAGTCTCTTCTCCGCCTAATCCGCGATGTAGCGGGTCTCTCCGGTACTGGATTCAAATGAGCATTCAAGAAGGAGTGTACACATCTTTCCAAAAAATCAAATAAGTAATCATTATCTGGATTCATCTGTCATTGTTACTGTTCTACACCACTAGATGATCATCTTTCACTGTTTAATTACACGTATAGGAAAGAACAGACTTGAAATTCAAAGTTGAACTCCAAAGTGTTAAATGTAATTTGGAAAAGGAGTTAGCTAAGTTGCCAAAAACTTAAAAGCCTAACTCTCACTCCAAATTATGCCTTGAGAAGTTTGATAGTTGAATGGTATACAAATCAAAATCTTAAACCACCAACTTTACCAGCAAAAAAGATCAAACCAATTGTTGGTAAGGCCTGGAGTCAGTCTATTGGAGAACAAAGGGCAGTCGAGTTTAAAAATCGATTAATCTTCACTGCTTTAGGTGTTTCACTCATTTGTCAGCCAGACGAAAGGGTGCATTGGGAATCTCCTAACTGAAACAACATTTTGACCATTTGATCCCCGAACTTATTTTTTTGGATTTATAGGGGCACAATGTAAGTTTTTTGGTCTAAAAGGTCATTGAACCGGCTATTATAGGTTGACAGGGACTAAAAAAGCAAATCATATCTTAGTTTAAGGACCTATAAAGCCCGACAAAAACTTTATGGACTAAATGAGTAAACCCTAGAAAGTTTGTAGGGCGTTTGTGTCATTTTCCGTATATATATATATATATATATATATATATATATATATATATATATATATATATATATATATATATATATATATATATATATATATATATGTTCAAAAAAAAATGGTGGAAGTGGGGGGAAGGGAGGGAGGGGGATCAAGATGGAGGGCCGAATGGGTTGGAAGATGGTCTTCCTGTTTCTATTGTAGTTTTATAGGGCCAAAAACTCTGGCGATTAGCAAAGCATTATCTTTGTTAATTTTATTTAAAAAACACTTTTATTCATGTTCCAAAATTTGTTGATAACAATAAGTTTTATAAGGAGGTTGTAGTAACCCCATTTTTTATAAAATATAATGAATAATTTAGTTTTTTTAGTGTCATAATAAAAATATATTTCATATTTGCACTTGTAATTGCTTTGGGTGGCAAACATCTCAGACTGTAAAAAATTTGATCAACCGGCTGGAAATAATAAAATCATTATCGAAAATAATTTTCTTTCGGTCAAATATCGAAATTCATCATGAAGACTTAGCAACACTCAATGGTGCTCATTTTCAATCTCGATCTGCCAAGAACATCTTTAGTAGAGCAAAAGCTTGGTGTGGTTGAAATCGAGGTACCTCGTGGCCCGCTCCTCGTACCGTAGCAAACGTTAATCCGTTGTATACAACTTTATATCCGGCTACCTGTATTTTTTTTATAAACAAACACAAAAGTATTAATTTCATGTTTAAGTCGTTTTTCATGTCTATCAAACGTACTTCGGTAATAGAAAGTTATCAAACATGAAAACTTACTTGTTTCGTAGCGTCTGTCCAAAATCGCCAAGGTTTAATCACTGTAAGATTCATGGCGTCTATAGAATAACGTGTGCCAGAGACCGGAACAACGGCATCAACATCTCCACTAACATGTTTCAAGTTAAATAGTAATGATTATTTGATGATTTTAAGACTTAATTCGACGATATCAAAACTCAAATGTACCTATAAAGGAGTATTCGAAGACCCAAGGAAATCAGTCGTTTGTATATTGGAAACATGGTTGATGGGCTATCCTTCCACTTCCCTATGAGGTTGCTGCAATAAAAAGCATACAGTCAGGTAACTTATGAATTTTTTCAAGATTAAATTTTATTTTTATTTTTCTTCTTAGAAAAGACATTGTATTTTTTTTTTTTTTTTCAATTTAGACATTTTAGCAGGTTTACAAATAATCTTCCCATTTTAGACTATTTTTCCCGAAAAACTCTCAATTTTTTGTCCTTGAAACCCCTTACATATAGATGTTTCTTTTTTATGATATTAACCCTATTTCAAAATGAATTGAGTTGAATTCCTAATGATTTTGAATTACTACTGTATACGTTTACAAAAATTATATTAGAAAAAATAATCTTTTTATTTTATTTAAAAAAAAAAAAAAGCAATTTAGGCTGTTGTAAGAATCTGACAACTTTCGATATGTTTGACGTGTTTAACACATTTGACACATGTAGGTTTTTGTTAAGGATTAGATTGAATTTCATCTATTTGACCCATTAGAGGTCAAACATGAACCCAAACTGATTTACTTTAGAGTAAATGGGCCAGAATTTTCACTTCTAACCCAAATGATGTCGACTCATCATAAGAAAATAATTAATTAGCTGATTCGAACCTGCAAGTTTCCCATCGATGAGATAATTTGGTGACATTTGCATGGAAAGCTTTTTGAACACTCGCAAGATTGAGATAATGTTCAACGTATTCTTCTTCACATGGATCTACTCCACCAGATCTTCGATGATGCTTCTTCCTCACCATTATTCCATCAGGCAATGGCGTACAAGTCGGGCCATAGATGTTGTAGAAATCTATGTTCCCAATTTCTTCACCAAGTTCTTCTTCTAAGCTTTGACAGTAGTTACTATTGTTATTGTAACCGCAGTCTCGTGTTAATTTCTGATACGTTTCATCTGAAATCAAGGCATGGCTCCATAGATAATCGTTGAATCCTTTGTCGTCAGTATCAGAGTTCATTATTCCATTCCCTATCTTCAATATTTAAAAACACAAACATATATAAGTCATAGTAAAGGTGTCGTATATATCAAGTCATTTTATTAAATCTGGTTTTATTTTACCATGATACCCTTGAGGTTGATATTTGATGTAGAATGGCCCTTCACATTTTTCTTTGTGATTATATCGGCTAGCTCCGGGATATAAAATCCTGTAACATAATAATTTAACTATATGGTTAAATACAAATCTTTGATGTTGAAATAATCAATTGTATGTATATAATTTATACCTGCATAACTTTCCCCGATTATGTAAAAGTCATGGTTCTTGTAATGCGGGAATCGTTTGAACCAATTAATGAGGAACACGTATGAATCCTCGGCTACAATTTTAACCAAAAACACTTGATGATAATTCAGATATTATCAAAAAAAAAAACGATATATTTATGACATTATGATCATAAACCCAAAAAAATGGGTTATGGCACATTGGATACCAAACAAGCTATAGCTAGAGCTCGTTGATTGGTCAATAGCTATTTTTCAACCAAAAGAAAAAGAAAAAAAAAAAAAAAGAGTGCGTGTGTTTGTGTTATAATGAAAAGGGAAACCTACCTGTCCTTTTATCCCCAGACAAGCCATAATCACTTGTTGTGTTGGAGTAAGAGAATCCAACTCCGGCTGGTGACTCCAAAAATAATACATTTGCAACTGTGTACATGTAACATGTCAAAACAGATATAAATTCGATTAAAACGTACATATATATTGTTTTTACGTATACAGTTTTGTTAAACTCGAACCTCTATTCCATGCAAATCGTCGTGAATATAAAGTTTTGCCATCAGCATTAACACCAAATGGCCCAATCTCAAGCATGGCACCAACCCCAAGAGACGAACATCCTGGTCCTATTGTATTACGAGGTTCGTTATATATATGTTTGCATATAAATTTTGATATATTAACGTTGTGTTGTAATCAGAAATTAAGTAAAACAGTTTAAACGAACGAATATAAGATTTCAAGAAACAAGTATAGGTTGGCACAGTGTACCTCCATTAAGCCAAAGAACAAGTGGTTTAGTGGATGGTTGATGATGAGCTTCAGCAAAGTAGTAGAAAAGGTTTCTACCATTGAAGCTATCAACATTGATGTATCCTGCAAATTGTTTAAAGCTTAACCCTTTTGATAATTGCTGCCCAGGAAGCCCGGCTTTTATGTAATCGTCTTCCATTGTCCTCCCATTGTCATCTGTTATCACTTCATTGAAGCTCGTTTCCATGACCGGTTTCTCAATGATGGTGTTGAGTTGGGTGTGGGTTCTTGTTCGTGAACGGCGGAAGGACATTAGGGTTTCAGCTTGGTTGGCCCGTGAGCCATGGGTGTGACATTTGCATGTAGTCATTGTTACAAGAATTAGTAGAAGAAGTTTGAGTTTTGTTGTGAATACATTGTGTTTGCTCTCCATTGCTGAATGGTATTAGTGGCTCTTACTTTCAAGAACTAGCTAAATGTCTATTTATAGACGAATCTAGTAAAGTTAAAGTGGTTATTAACATGTCGGTTCTAAATAATTAAATATTTTTAAAGGCCCAGGACCAACAAGAAGAAAAAGGTTATTATCTTTATTATAATTTTTTATTTTTAAATAAAAAAAAAAAAAAAAAGGTCATTATCTTTATTATAATTTTTTATTTTTAAATAAAAATATATAATAAAAAAAATTGGGCCCTGTACAGCTGGCCTCTTTGCCCCCTAAACGCCCCATAGTTATTAAACTTTAGTTTAATTGTATTTCATCATCATTCATCATACCTCGATAAGGGAGTGTTTGGATGTGGTGCAAATATAATATTTCAGTTTTTTTATACTGTTTGAAGAAAGTGATTCTGATTTTGCTTTTTTTATTCTATTTTTTTTATGATGAATGATGATTGTGGGGTAAAGTAAAAAGGGAAAGGTTTATGATTCACATGGAGAGTTTTTCTGTGATTTTGGAAGGGAGCCTGTCCACAGTGTCATGGTTACGAAGGGTGGTCCATTCCGACGTTTGCAAATTTCTTTTACAATATTTTTGTATTGGTTATGTGAATGTTGAGGATAAGAATGATAATGTTTCAATAATTGATTATTCTACTAGTTATCGGATTTATAATATTAACAGAATTTCGAAAGAAACTAATGTAAATAGATTATTTTTTTGAGATATGTTTGAATGATAAGCTAGAATACAAACAGGAAATGGGTGAAATTCGTCGTAAATGTGCCCCTCCTGAAATTGTTGGGTAAGGGATGGGGTTTAATATTTGTAGAATTTTTTTTTTGGAGTTATGTTAGGATGATAAGAATCCTAATAGGAAAAGGGTGAAATTCATCGTAAATGTGCCCCTTAAGAAATTGTTGGCCATGGGATTGGGTTTAATATTTGGAAAAATCCAGTGAGTTTTATTTATTTATTTATTTCTAGGTGTAAGACTCATATATTATATGGGTTAATTAAAAAAAATATAAAGGTCTAAATATTTAAGAACTTTGGATAAGATAATAAGAAAAATAATGAATTATTAAAATTGATTTTTTTTATCTTTTAAATTTAAATAAATAAATAAAATAAACTAATAAGCTATAATTTGGGAATTTTAAAATAAGAATGTAAGTTCATTAATGAAATTGATATTCATTTATTACTATATTGATTATAATTATTACATTAAAGTATTATGTGTAATTTATTAAAATAGAAAAATTCAAAAAATGACATGTGGAAAAGAAATTAATTCAAAATAATCACAAAATAACATTTGATAAATTTAATGAGAGTGTGACATGTGGCAAAAAAATCTTTCATTTATTAGAATAGATTTCAATGAAAATCTCTATAGCATCCACTATTCCCAGTAGTAAGTCATCGGCATATAGCACGTAACAAATCTTTATCAAGTACTTAGATGAATACCTGCGAGTTCCGCAGAATACAATAATATATTTGAAATCTTTACAAATATATGTTTTTTAAATATATTAATATTGTTCTTATTAATTATTATATAATAAAAATCTTTATAATAAATTGGTATAAACATTGTTTGTTTTGAATTATATGATAATTTGGACATATTTTAAAATTCGATAATCCCAATTGTCTCAATAGCCTCTGGCTGCGGGTTACTCATGAAGAAAATTAAATATAATATAGGGTTTAATGATATTTATAGTTGTTGTTATGATTAATTAATTTTAAAAAATTTATTTGCATAAGATTTTAATTTCTATCATTATAATTATTTAAAATTGTTTTTATTTATAAAGATAACAATATATTTGTTGTATAAAATATTACTTTTAACAATTGTTGTTGTAAGTTGTTTAAATAACATATTTGGAAACTCTTAATTATTTTAATTTGGTTTCAGAAATTTAATTTTTTTTTAAAATTTATTTATGAATATTGTTAGTTTCTTTTATTGTAATTATTGAAAACAACAAACATTGTTTTGTTTTTAAAGATAACATTATAATTTTTTTTTATATAATATTTCTTTTAACTATTCTTCTTGTAAGTTATATTTAAGCTACTTATTTGAAAATTTTTAATTATTATAAAAAAAATAGTTTCATGGCTTTTTTGTTAATTTAGAATTACGATTTATGTTTAACACTATAATTTATAACTTTTAACTATTTATAAAATAGTCTTTCGATTTTTTTCAAGTTTAACTGAAATTTTAATTTAAGTTAACCGTTTAACATTATATTAAAATTAATAATTTAACTATTTTGCATAAAATTATAAATTATACAAAAGTTGTGACTTTAAAATGACAACTCAACACATACGACAACATATCTAAACTAATAAGTTAACTATAATATGTTAAAAAATTAAAGTCGTAATTTTATAAATAGAAGTAAAATATTATATTTTAATATTGTAGTTTAGTTAATTTATGATTAGAATTTAGTGTTTGCATTAATTTAACATTATTAACCAATACATAATAATTATTAGAAAGAAACTGAAAGTGATAGAGGTTTCAAATGCATGTGGTACAAGTAAAAATGTATCTTTTATAAGTATACTAGACGAATACTCGCTTGTTGCGTAGAATACAATAATATATTTGAAATCTTCAGAAATATATGTTTTTTTAATATATCGATGAAGTTGTTGTTAACTCTTATATAATAAATCTTATAATAAGTTGGTCTAAACATTGTTTTTTAATTATATGATAATGTAGATATCTTTTAAAATTTTATAATAGCAATTGTCTCAATGGCCTCTACCTGCATGTTAGTCATGAATAAAGTTAAATATAATATATGTTTTAATGATATTTATAGTTGTTATGATTAATTAATTTTAAAAAGTTTATTTGTTTAACATTTTATGTTCGATCATTGTAATTATTTACAACATCAAATATTGTTTTTGTTTTTAAAGGGAACAATATAATTTTTGTATATAATGTTACTTTTAACTATTGTTGTTGTAAGTTATTTAAAATAACATATTTTGAAACTCTTAATTATTTTAATTTGGCTTCAGAAGTTAACTTTTTTAAAACTTATTTGATGAATATTGTTAGTTTCTTTCATTGTAATTATTTAAAACAACAACATTGTTTTTGTTTTAAAGATAACATTATATTTTTTTATATAATATTACTTTTAACTATTCTTATTGTAAGTTATTTTTTAGCTACTTATTTAAAAATTCTTAATGATTATAAAAAATAGTTTCATTGTTTTTTTAACCGTTTAACATTATATTGAAATTAATATTAACAATCTACTTTATAACTTTTATCTATTAATAGTCTCTCGATTTTTTTCAAATTTAACTGAATTTTTGATTAAAGTTAACCGTTTAACATTATATTGAAATTAATAATTTAACTATTTTGCATAAAATCATAAATTATACAAAAATAGTGACTTTAAATGATAATTTCTCACATACGACAATATATTTAAAATAATAAGTTAACTATAATATGTTAAAAAATTAAAGTCATAATTTTATAAATAGAAGTAAATCATGATATTTTGATATTGTAGTTTAGTTAATTTATGATTAAAATTTAGTTTTTACATTAATTTAACATTATTAACCAATTTATAATAATTATTAGAAAGAAATTGAAAAGTCATGGAGGTTTCAAAAGCATGTGATGCAAATAAAAATGTCTTTTTTATAAGTATACTAGACGAATGTCTGTGCGTTGCGCAGAAACACCTATATAGTTGAAATATTTACAAATATATGTCTTATTTAAATATAACAATAACGTTGTTGTTAAATTTGATATAATATTTCGTATGATAAATTGATATAATATATATTGATTATTTTGAATTATATGATAATATATACATCTATTATAACTGCATAATCTCAATCGTTTGAATGACTTCTACCCGCAAGTTACTCATGAATAAAATTAAATATAATATATGATTTAATGTTATTTATAGTTGTTGTTATTGTTAATTAATTTTTAAAAATTTATTTGTTTAACGTTTTAATTTCTATCATTATAATTATTTAAAACAGCAAACATTGTCTTTTGATTTTAAAGGTAACAATATAATAATTTATATAGGGTTATTTTTAACTATTATTATTGTAAGTTATTTTAAGCTACTTATTTGAAAACTTTTAACGATTATAAAAATATCTTTAGGAAATATTTTAGTTAAATTGATATTACAATTTAGTTTTTGCATTTAGCACAATAATTTATCACTTTTAACTATTCACAAAATATTCTTTGGGTTTTTTTTAAGTGGAATGAAATTTATATTTAAGTTGACACTATAATGTTATATTTAAATAAACAGTTTAAATATTTTGTCCAAACTGTTCAAAAGATATAGCTTTAAACTGATAATGGTTTACATACAACAACATATTAAATCTAATAAATTAAGTATAATATGTTAAAAGTTAAAGACATAACTTTATAAATAGAAATAAATATATTAATTTAATATTGAAATTTAGTTTATTTATGCTTAGACTTTAGGTTTGATATTTATTTAAGCTTAATAACCAACTTATAATCATTATTAGATTGACTCTACAATTTATCACTTTTAACTATTTACAAAATATTCTTTGGATTGTTTAAGTTCAACTAAAATTTATATTTAAGTTGACTCTATAATGTTATATTTAAATTAATAATTTAAGTATTTTATACAAATTGTTCAAAATTTGTAGCTTTAAAATGATAATGGTTTACATCCAACAATACATTAAAACAAATTAATTAAGTATAATATGTTAAAAGTTAAAAAACATAACTTTATAAGTAGAAGTAAAGATATTCTTTTAATATTGAAATTTGATGTTAAAAGTTAAAAAACATAACTTTATAAGTAGAAGTAAAGATATTCTTTTAATATTGAAATTTGGTTTATATATGATTACACTTCAGGTTTGATATTTATTTAACCTTATTAACCAACTTATAATCAT